AGTATTTGTCGAAAGTATTGAAAGGATTACTCTTCCAACAAGTATCACGCAAGGCCTCATCACTCTAATCCCAAAAGCCTAATAAGGATCCGCTTTTTATTGACAATTGGAGACCAATATGTCTTTTAAACAATGACTATAAAATCATGGCTTTAGTGTTGGCCAGAAGAATAAAAGATGTATTAGATGATATTATAGACGAAACTCAATCTGGTTTTATGAAGAATAGGCATATCTCTAATAATCTCAGACTAGTTTTTGACATTTTGGATTACTCAGATCTGATACAGGATGACTCATTTATCCTCCTCTTAGACTTCTACAAAGCTTTTGATTCTATTGAGCATGAATTCATATTTCTCTCTCTTAAAAAATTTGGCTTTGGTGATATGTTCTGTAATGCTGACTTGGCCCTGTATTCAAATGCTAATAGCTCCGTTAGAATGAAAAATGGCACAACGTCAAGATTTAATCTTAAACGCGGGATCCGACAAGGAGCTTTTTATTAGGTTGGAATTAGACAAAATACCGGAAAAGCTCTCTTTATTTCACAAACAAGTTTTGTTAGCATGGATGCTCATATATAAGCACAACTTTTCTCCCCATAAATGTATTATATGGAACAACCGGGATATTCTGTATAAGAATAAGTCATTATTTTTTCCTAACTGGATTGAGAAACAGATTATTTTAGTGTTTCAACTGTTCAATAGTGATGGACAACTTATGTCTTATACAGAATTTTTTAAACACCTATAAGTTTCCAGCAACACCGAAAGAATATGCAATGCTATACCTTCTGGTGTCAAAATACTATTTAGAAGTGTTGATTTTAATATCTCTTCTGTTCCTTTCTATAATCCAATTGATTCAGATATAGGTAAAATTTGTCTGACCTCTTCTAAAAATAACAATAAATATGTACGGTCTTTGTTTCAGAAAGAAGTGATATCTGTCCCATATGTTGTTTCATACTGGAATTCTTTTGTAAATGATATTAACTGGAAAAAAGTATGGACAATTCCCAATAACTTTTTTGTAACAAACAAGGTCAAAGAAATTTATTTTAAAATTATCCACAAGTACTACCCTGCTAACCACTATATGACGAAATTCAAAAGGGACATTGATGTGAACTGTTCTTTTTGCGGAAATCACCCTGAGACCACCCAGCACCTTTTTTGGATCTGCACACACTCCACAACCTTCTGGAAGGACTTCTGCAGCTTTATTATGAAAGAACTTTACAAGGACTTTACTTTGAAGTGGGAAAATGTTATGTTTTGTTTTTTTAGAAAACAAAGTAAAGAACATATGTTCTTTATTATAAATTTACTAATTGTGCAAGCTAAATTCTATATCCACAAATGCAAATATATAAAACAAAAACCGGCCTTTAAACATTTTTATTGTGATATGTCATCGTATATAAAATTAATTAGTGGTTCATTGAACAAAAAGGCTATGAAAACTAGAAATATTTGTATAACTTACAATTTGTTTGAATGTATGTGATATCCCCCTGGCAAGGGTAATATTAAGTTGTATGTTTTGTATACTGTTGTTTACGTTTGAGCAATACATTTTTAAAAAAAAAATTAAAGTATCAACATGGGACGTCCACAATGACCACATTTGGAGTACAATTAGCCCTTACACAGAGGTCCTCTGGTCGTTAAAGCTGCAGTTGGGAGTTTTGAGAAAACGTTGACTTACCGTTTGACTACACCGCCGCCGGCGAGAGCGTCAAATTGGCCGGAAGTCATTCATTTTCAATGAGAGCCGGCGGCGAGCTCCGGCGAGGGCGGCGCGGCGCGTCTTGGACGGTGAGAGCGGCGAGGAGCGGCGAGGAGAAGTTGAAATCAGCTCAACTTTATGGTAATGAGCTATGACGCGGTTCGGCGGCAACCAATCGGAATGCAGAAGTGCTCCGTTTGAGAGGATTCCAGAGAACGCAGTCAAGTAGCTTTGGTTCCGACCACATTAGTTCCCAAGCAAAATAGAGGAGAGGATGATCATTTGAATTTGATAAGAAGGCGCGCAACACTATTTTTAGGCAAGATTTTTGCGCTAGAACGCTTGTTTTTCAGCGGGAATGCAAATTAGAATAGCACTTAACCATGAACACAAAAGCCACACCACACAAATGGCTTTTAATTGGTTTATTTCGTTAGCAAACATGTCACTATAATTGTTAAGTTCTTTCCATCGATCAATTTTCTGCAAAAATAACGATCGACATGCTTGTTTGCTTTACGGCCCCTTTAAATAAAGTTTTAAAAAAGACCAAACATTCGATCTACGTCAGAGCATCAGAGCGTCCACGAATCTTTCCATGGCGTCGCTGGCAGGGCGGCGAGAGCGAATTTTGCCGCTCTCGCCGGCGGCGGTGTGAACGTACAGTTAGCCTGAAAATTTGAACAAGCACAACTTCCAGGTCCCGCCCCCTTGCTCTCTGCTGCGCTACAGCCCTCCCCACAGCTCGTCCTCCACAGCGGAGCCTGTCGTGAACGCGCAGGCTAGTAAACAGGGCCACCGATAACAGCGGATAAAAAGTTATATAGCACATTCACTAATAGGGACTAAACGTCAATAATATGCTTTACATTGACTATGGCCTGCCCATACTTGGACCAGAAACTTGGTCCTCAAATCATTATGTATTTTGCAATACATGTAACTTTATAACGTTGCACTCTTTCTATAAGTTATAAATAGCTAGTAAGGTAACGCTAATATAACGGTAACTAACGTTACAGTATGTAAGTATTCTAGCGATATATAATGCTAGATAAGGTGTGCTAGTACATTATTTCAGCAACATGACAAGCCAGTGAATTAGCAGGTTTCAATTGTTGCTTAGCAGAGTGCGTGACATTTTATCTACATGTTATGCGGCTAGAGTTTTGACACCGAGTCAATGGGCTCTGTGTAATTCTTTCTTTTTCGCTTGTTTATCGTCATCAGTCTTTTTCCTTTTACCTCTTTGTTTTATGAGCAGGTGTCACTCGAGAATTGGCAGTTTAGGTTGTTTCTCCGTCATAAGCACAGCTGCAGCTCGCCGGCAATCTTGAGTTTGAACGACGGCTCGCGCTGTGCAAGAGAGGGGTGTGATCAGCGCGTACACGAGCGTGATTGACACTGCTAAGACACTCCTCTCGGCTCTGATTGGTTGTTTCTGACCGGGAGCGTGTATTTCTGCAAATGGCAATAGGACCACTGGGAGGAACCAGAAGAGCTTGATTTTTTTCACAGATTATCTGTCTCATATTCTACTGTCAGGACATAATGACAGTTTTAACAAATATGTAAAAAATATTTTTTACAAAAGTTACCTACAGCAGCTTTAATACAGGACGATCATTAGACGACAAAAAAAGACGTCGTCTGGCGTTACAGTCTGCACCCATAGGGGACCAAAATGAGACGTCCACAACGACCATATCTGGACTACATTTAGCCCTTAAACAGAAGTCCTGTGGAAGTCCATACAGGAAGTTCGACAGACGTCGGAAAAATACGTTGATTGGCGTCACAGTCTGCACCCTCCTGATACCGACATAGGACGGACAAGCACACCGTTGAAACTACGTCATCTGGAGGTAACTTTGCACAGTGGGAATAATCCTAATCGACATACTTTTTAAAAACAAATCACTATTCTATCACACTTGGTTCAATGAAGGGATTATATTAGTAAGACAATTGGTTAATTCCAATGGATATTTGTTATCATTACTGAATTTCTACAAAAATTTAAATTACCAGTTAAACCAAGAGAGTTTGCTATTGTTCTTGACGCGATTCCAAAGAGTGTGATTTTACTCTTAAAAAACGCTGATTTAGTGGAAATCAACTTGGACAATATTTGTGGTAAAATTTTCATTGATAATGTTGATGTTTTACAACAAAAATGTAGCAATATGATTATAAGGAAAGCTCTTGGCTCGGTGTCTTTTCCTGCAGCAAGATTCTTTTGGTCTTCTTTATTTGGTGATATCTCTTAGGTTAAAGCATGGAAATTACCAAATAAGTTTTGTGTAAATAACAAAATTAAGGAAGTGTCTTACAAAATACTTCACCGAATTTATCCTGCTAAGCATGTTTTGGAAAGATTTAATCTTAATATTTCGTATACTTGTGAATTTTGTGCACTAGAGAAAGAAACAATTTTGCATCTGTTTTTTTCACTGTATTTACTATTACAGATTATTTTGGAAAGATTTAGAAACCTTTATTAATAGAAAACTGAAGTGTATGATGGAAATTTGTGTTTTTGATGTGCTTTTTTATACTCAGAAAGACAATTTAAACAAAGAACAGCATATTATACAGCTATTTATTTTATTAGGAAAATACCATATACATAAAAAGAAGTGGGCTCAATGTAAACCAAATTTTCCACATTTTATAAATGACTTTAAATTATATGTACATCTTTTGGAACAAACTAAAAACAAAAAAGCAATGAAAACATGTAATGCTTTGAAAACACTGGATTTTATGTAAAAAAAAATATATATATTTTTTAAATTTATTTTTAATTTTTATTTTCCTGGCAGTTAATGTAATATTGTGAATATGTGATACCTCTGTTCTTGTGGCATTGAAAAAAAAAAAAAAAGAAAAAAAAAGGGAATAATCCTAATCCTTTCAGGGCTTTGGCCCTAACTATATTTTAGATGCTGCAGCAACACGTTAACCGTCTCCACCACACTCCATGTTTTGTATGAAAAGAGATTTAAACACCAAGTGAAATTTGTCATTAGACAATTCAATCAAAAAATCCTACAACCTGCGGTCAGTCTTGCTTTTTTATGAGATTAACGTTACGATATGGGTAAATCAAACACACTGTTAACCCATGTATTATATTAATTTCATAAATGAAAAGGCATATTAGAAAAAAGGATTAACCCCGATACAGGGAATGGATATGGATAGTAGTATAGCCTACTAACTGTGAAAGTTAGACTGAGCTGAGGTGAATATGTTGTTACCTGTGAGCTCCGAGAACGACGACTGGAAAAAACCCAAAAGAAGCAAAAAGCACGTGAACCGCCAAAATCGCATGACTTTTTATTGTAAACTCCTGGAATGGTCCAGAAATGACCGCAAACAAAGTTTCCACTGCTCCTCACAGACAATACGGCTTCCTGGTTTGCGACAGACTTCCAGGTTAAGGTTAGCCGTGATCCAGGTGAATCCCTGGCCTGAACTAGTAAGGCTATAGTACCCGTTAAAACCGCGTGTCGGCTGCCGTTCCCATCTATGGTCCCATCAGTGTCGGCAAGCGGGAGAACTGGCCATAAGAGACTTATCTTGTGAATAATACTTATAATTGTAATTTTGATTTTATATGATATCTAATATAAATTAAATATATTATTTAAATATATCGTTCATTATTGCATTTTATTTGATTGATAACCAGGTTTAGAATATTATAGAATTAAAGAATTATATAGAACGTAGACTAGTCATAAAAAATATTTATGTATCAAAAGAGCTGAAATTCAAATAAAAAAGTAGCCTAGATAAAAAAAAGACATTCTCTTGACAAGATTTACCTCTTTAGTATTTTCTTTATAAGTGGACAGAAATGGATAGTATTATAATGTATATATATATATATTTTTTTTTACAAAACAGCAACAAAACCGTTGTCCTCTAGAAGGCGCTGTGTGACATTATCAGTTTATCGATTTTCCCAATATCCATTCAAATTCTGATTATTAAGGATCCGTGGAAATAAGAGACTTTTTAGTGTCACAGCACAACTTGAGTTGAATTATTACGGTTCTGATTGTCTGGCTATGTAAAGTAATGTAATTAAATTATGTTTTTATCAATCGCTCCCTCCAATGGCTTTATTTAATTTTAATCATGTGTTGGATTACAAATTTAAGAATCAACATCGCATAAAAAATTAAGGTGAAGTATATTGTATTTAGCATTAAGGCAATGGTCTGAAACTCCAACCCTAAACTAACACACACCTGGTCCAGCTGATCATGTCATGATTCTGCCATCTAGTTCTTGTTGTTCTTTAATTCTTGAGGCAGGATCATGACAGAACCATGTTTTGTGTGCAAGCACATGGCCTTTGGTTTGGGCCATGTGCTTGTGTTGTCTCGTCCTCTGGCCCCGCCCCCTTGTTATCCTCGTTTTGTCATTATTGCTTTACCTGTCACCTGTTGTTATCATTAGTCTCTCTATTTAATCCCCTTGTGTTTGCTGTCTTGTGCCGGTTCATTGTGATTCTCAGTGTGTGTATCCTGTGATCCCATACCTGTGTGTTGACCCTCTTGTGAGTATCTAGTGAAGAACTCTGTCCTGTACAATCCTGATCTTGTTGCTGTTATTAGTTATTTGTCTAGTTACCTGTCAAGTCTTAGTCTAGTGTTGTTAGTCTTTGTTTTTGCCCTTCAGTCTGGTTTTACCCCATCGTGGGTTTTGTTTTTCCCTTTTTTGTCAAATAAACCTTGTGTGTTTTTGCAAACTGTCTGCAATTGGGTTCGTCCTTACAAAATCCTCACAGATCAAGGCTTTCAGGATCTCTAGAAACTCCAGAGCTGAGTTTGAGACCACTGACTATGATGACATCTGATGTATGATTCTGTTGAGCAGATATTTCAATAAGAAGTTTTTTGCCAAATCCTGTTCACTTTATTGTAAGTCGGATGAGTCTGATTACTGAGACTCTCACCTTTTGTCTTTGTTGGCTTTTGGAGGCCCTGTCCTATGCTGATGAGACTGGTGACACGAGTCTGGGTGGGTTACTTTAACTCTATTCATTCTATTTAACTGGACTTGATCAACAGCACATGCTCAGAATACATCCAAGTCTCCTGCTCTTCCCTTCTGAGTTTCCATCATGTCTTATTTCAACTGGTTTTGTTGGTAAATCACATGAATGCTTGTGTTCTTCTGTAATCTGCATTGGAAAGAGTGACAAGGAAAGCTTACCTGACTTGGCCATTTAAGAGTCATGTTTAATATCTTCATTTGTTTAACCATTTGTAATATTTGACTATTGTTATTACTGCATTTCCAAAGACATAGACTCACCTACTCTTCTCACTTCGCATTAAATGTGTCACATACAAGAACAAGTACAAAAACAGTGAAAATGATCATTTTCAGATTATTAGTAAACCGTTTTTAGTCATACGTTTAACCTGACGTTTAACCATAAGTTTAAGCTTCCTCTGTCTTCTTCTCAAGCTGATTTCTCAAGTTAACTGATTTTGGGTTTCAGACAAAACTCTGCTGGCTGGTTTTGGATAAAAAATTGAAAATAAACGGTTGAAAATAAAGGTTTGATGAGCCCCAGGGTTTCTTTACTCAGTTTTACAGAACTCTTCATGGCAAACATGTTCTATATAAGGAGAAATGTCTTGGTGTGCCACAAATTTAATTCCCCTCTTGTCTTCTTCGTTATTTTTTCTGCTCTAAAAGTGTCTGAGGCTAAGCTAAACTAAGCTGTTGGTCAGATTTGCCGCAGGAACTAGGAACTATTTTAGTTCTAGGAGCTCTTTTAGAGGAACTAATTGAGCTCCTACTTCAGAGTAGGGTCTAAACCAGCGCTATAGGAACTATCCGTGATGTTAGTGTACGCTGATTGGCCGAACGCACGCAAAACACCAGCACCCGCCATTTATAAAAAAAGGCTGTATAAACACACAGACTATAGCCTATATATTTACACCACAAACTAACTCTACGAACATGGAAAACAGTGATAGATGGACCTCTTAAACTTTACGCTGAGGAGAAAATCCAACGCAACTTTGAGGAGAACAATGCTCAGCTAGCAACACTGGACATCAACCACACGCCATACGCTACCAACTTTTCATTACTATCTACTTTCTATGTATAATAGTTCTATCTAATAACATATTAGACAGGACTGTTAGACAGATCGCATACTAATGAACACGGAGAATGTATTGTTTGTTTGCTTTCTCAGCGCCGTCAAAATAAAAGTCACAACAACAAGTTAAGTCACTTCAGAGTTCCTACTGGCGGTGCGAATGCAACCAGAAAACATTCCTAGGGGAACCATTAGTTCTCGGGGAAGGGGAACCATCCTGGTAGTTAGTTCCTAGAACTATCCAGTGCGAAAGCCCCTATAGATAGGACTATAAACCTGACAAGTCGAAAAGTGAAACCTCTAAAGTGAAACCCTTTTTATCCCTGATTAACTTTCTAACAGTGATTCTTTCGTAACAACTCGTCTAGACTATTGTAATTCACTTTATTTTGGTGTCTCTCAGTCTCCTCACTAGGACCGGTCACATAGCATGAGTCGGTCACCCCTATTTTATCCACACTGCACCTGTCAAATGTAGAATTGATTTTAAAATTGTAATTGTTTATAAAGCTCTCAAAAAATTGTCCCCTCAGTACCTGACCGATCTACCTTGCCCGTACTCTCCTATAGATCTCGGAGATCCAGTGATCACTGTCTACTCATTATGCCTAGATCCAGACTTAAAACATGAGGTGATCGAGGCCCCAAACTTCGTAACACTCTTCCTCTTTACATCAGATTAGCTCTCTTTGTTTCCACCTTCAAGTCTTGTTTAAAGACCTATTTATTCTCTTTGGATATTAATACTCCTTGATTTAGTAAAAAAAAGTCCCCGCCCCCTTTCCAAGATGGCTGCATGTCTTTCTGTCTGCTCTTTGTTTGCCCATTTTTAACTTTTTAAAAGGTTTAAGAGCACCTCTCACTGAAATAATCCAGACAGTGCCTTCATTTAACCTACCCTGTTATATTTGTAAGCTCTTGGCCTATTATTTGGTTTGAGGCCTATCTTCATACTACAACCCAGGGATCTGCTGCAGTGTGGCTGGTTTTCAGCCTAGATCTGTGACGGTTTCTTGAAACAGGATTTACAGCAAGATAACAACATCTATCTCCAGCTGCATTGTTGTTCGCCTCCAGCACACACTAAAGCCTATGCTATCTGGCTACAGCTATTCCGAGAGGTTCTCGGCCTATTACGAGAACCTCTCGGGACCCAGTCACGCCTGGGACCCAGAGCTGGATACCGCCACGGGCAAGGAGGAAGAGAGGGAGACGTGGAGGTGTACGGCAAAGGCTCAAAAGACTTGGTCACCGCAGAATCCCCCTTCCCTCTATAATGTTAGCAAATGTGCAGTCCCTACGCAATAAAGTGGATGAAGTCCAAGCACACGTGAGGTTTCTGGAGGAGTATCGGGACGCGTGCATCCTTGCCTTCACAGAAACATGGCTTAAAGAGCACGTCTCCCAGGAAGATATGGAAATTGATGGCTTTGGAGCACCCTTTCGTCTTGACAGAGACCCCTGACAGTAAGTCACTGGGCGGAGGTTTATGTTTATACATTAATAAACGCTGGTGCAGAACAGTCATCATTCGTGAGTCCTTATGTACACCAGACATTGAGCTTTTAGCGGTGTCGCTACGGCCATTCTATTTGCCGAGGGAATTTCCACAACTATTTGGGACTGTGGTTTATATTCATCTCAGGGGTAACGCTGACATCGCAACTCAAATCCTGACCAAAAAAGTGCAGAGTTTTCAAGCGCGAGCGCCGGATGCGCCGTTTTTTTTAATGGGAGATTTTAACCACTGTAAACCCGGGAAAGCGCTTGGTCGCTTTTTTCAATATGTCACTTGTCCGACTCGGCATTTCAAGTGTCTTGATCTTTGTTTTGGGACAGTTAAAGGAGCATATAAATCAGTCCTGAGAGCTCCTATTGGTGCGTCCGACCACAGTGTTGTTTATCTTGTTCCGACATACAAAACTGTCCTGAAGAGGAACAAGCCTGAGCGAACTCTGGTGCCGGTATGGTCGGATGAATCGGTGCAGGATCTACAAGAATGTTTTGCTGAGACCGACTGGGACGTTTTTAAGAATTCCTGCACGGATATAAATGAATTAACAGAAACGGTTTCTAGTTTTATTTCTTTCTGTGAAAATATGTTTGTCCCCAAGAAATCCCGTTTACTTTATGCTAATAATAAACAGTGGGTCTCAAAATCAGTCAAGAAACTGATTAATCAGAGGAATATTTATTTTAATCAAGGAGACACGCAACAATACAGGGAGCTCTCAAAGCAAGTTAAGAGAGAACTTGGCCAGTTGTAAACTCGCAAAGTTCGCTTACAAAGATAAAGTTGAAAACTTATTGAGTGTAGGTGATGCACGCCCTGCATGGGAAGGTGTGAAAAATATGATGCCAACAAAGAAGAGTGTAGTCTCACTTAATGGGATAAATGACTCACAACTTTCAAATGAATTTAATGTTTTTTTTTAATCGTTATGATGAGCATAATTTTAGTAAAGCGGTGTCTGTTTTTAAGGATAATGCTTGTACTCCCCCTAATGTTCACATCGATAAATGTGCTGTCATTAAAGCTTTTAGATCAGTCAAAGAGCGGAAAAGCCCTGGTCCTGATCACATTGGAGGACGACTTCTTAAAAACTGTGCTGTGCAGTTGGCGGACATCTTCACATACATCTTTCAACTATCACTGCAGTTGCACAGGGTCCCTCGTCTTTGGAAAGACTCTATCATTGTGCCAGTCCCAAAAATTAAAGCCCCAAAGCTACTGAATGACTTCCGACCTATAGCACTCACTTCTCTGGTGATGAAATCGTTTGAAAAACTGGTGAAGTCTGCCATAATGGACTATGTTCAGGACAGACTGGATCCTTTACAGTTTGCTTATAGACCAGGTCGAGGTGTGGATGATGCCACAGGAACACTTTTAAATTTGGTTTTTAAACATCTCGAAGGGGCAGGTTCTCTAGTCCGTTTGCTTTTTGTTGATTTTTCAGTTGATAAACTGAATCAAAACTTCAACATTGACCCAGGTTTGATCAGTTGGCTGATGGACTTCTTAACAGAGCGGCCTCAGCGAGTCAGGGTCAATGGGATCCAATCGGATGTTCTTTGGTCATCAACTGGATCTCCGCAGGGCTGTGTACTGTCGCCACTTTTATTTGTCCTATATACTAATGACTGTCAGAGCAGCTATCCAGGTCGTCATGTTGTTAAGTTTGCTGACGACTCTGTCATTGTTTCACTTCTAAGTCAGAAAGACTGTGAGCATGGTCCTGTTTTATCAGATTTTCTTGAGTGGTGTGGAACTGCCTTTCTAAACATTAATGTAAACAAAACTAAAGAAGTGTACATCAACTTTGGCAGGTCACCTGTGTCTCTTCCTCCTGCTCTTATCAAAAGCCAGGCTGTGGATCAGGTAGAGAACTACAAATACCTGGGGACAGTCATTGACAATAAGTTGCGCTTTGAGTCGCAGGTAGATGCTGTCTGCAAGAAGGCTCATCAACGCATGTACTTTTATCGGAAACTTAGAAATTTTAACCTGGATACTACTTTTATGAAAATGTTTTATTCCTGTTTTATTGAATCAATTTTTACTTTTTCATTTATCTGTTGGCACGGTTCTCTCTTGGAGAAGCAAAAGAACCGTCTTAATGATGTTGTCAAAGTGTGTAGTAAGATTGCTGGAATTGCCTTAAATGACCTAAGCGAGGTGTACAGGGTCAGATGTTTGAGGAAGGCTAAGGCTATTATTGCTGACCCATCTCATCCGTTGTGCCAAGAGTTTTTACTGCTTCCTTCCGGGCGCCGTTATAAAGTTCCACGGGGTAACACCAACAGGTTTAAGAAGTCCATGATCCCCAGAGCGATTAGTCTTTTAAATTAATGAGTGTATGAGTATATTTAATGTATTGTTTTAGAATGTGTTCTTTGTTTTGTGTCGATGGTAAGTTGTATGTGACTGCTGGCTGTAAACTAAATTGCCCCATGGGGGATAATAAAGCTTAACTCACTAACTAACTAACTAACTAACTAACTAACCTTTAAGCAAAACCTCGAAAATCACATAGTTGACTCTTGTTCCTGCTGACAATCATGAACCATATTTATACACATATATTTAAGCACTCTATTTCTTTTCTTTTTCCCCTTTGTTGTCTATCTTTTTTTAATTTAGTTGCTTTTTCTATGTGTTATGTGTTTGACTATGTGTACAGTATGTTCTTATTTATTCTTGTAGCCTCTTGGCAAGGTCATGTTTGTAAATGAGAAGTGGTTCTCAAACAGTTTACCTGGATAAATAAAGGTTAAAAAATATATATATTTTTATAAGTTTTTTTTTTTTTTTTCTGTTCTGTACAGCACTTTGGCCAGCCTTGGTTGTTTCTAAATGTGTTTTATAAATAAATATTGTATTGTATTGTACTGTATAAACTACACTCGGATTAGTTAACAAAGATGAAGGACACGTCGTGCGTTCATTATGGGGTGTGTGAAAAAGTAACCTGGAGTGCCTGTGTGAATAGATCGAGAAACTGCATATTTATTATCAATATTAAGTGATAACCTCAGATACGGGATATATATATATATATATATTAATTGTTGTTCATCACCACAGCAACCATTTGCTTGTCTACATTGAACTATTTGAAAGCTTGTGGCATATCACCGACTAAGGCTATAAAGATACTGATACAGGAACTGTACATTTCATTCATAATATTATATATTATATATATTCCCCTTCATTCCATTTCATATCAGTATCGTCCCTCATAACCTTAACGTGGCAATACTGTGTAGCAAATTTGGTGAGAATATTGCTATAATAATTGTATTAATAACTCTGCATTACATGATAGCTTCAAAGTTCTTAATTCCTATGAATTTGTTATCATACAATTTCGTTTTTATTTCTATAAATAAAAATATGTCCGTTGTTCTAGTTTTCTGAAAATAATTTTGATTCATTTACTTGTGGAGATTCAGGATATATTTGTTGGTGTGGATCGTAATGTCTAATTACATTCCGTGAAGCAAACTTCATGTTTTATTCATTTCTGATCCTGATCATTTTCTATAACGCAGAGGGCATATATTTATTCCAATGTGATTGACAGATGAGGAGCTATTGGCTTGTTGACCTCAAGAGAATTATAAATCCTTAGGTCTGATCTTTATCCATCAGTTTGAATGGCTTTTTTTTTTTTCTTCAATTATCACTTTGGGAATTACCATAATTTTTGAGCACACTCACAATATGACTTTGCAGTAAAAACACATAATATTTGTAAAGACGTGTGTCAATCTCCCATATAGCTAGTTTTGGTGCTTGAGACTGTTTGCCTTTCAGCTATATTTGTACTTTTGTTGTAGATTTTGTATCCTTGCTGTGAGTAATGAAAGAAAGAAAAGAACGAGTGAATCTTCCTCTATTGAGACCTGCTACAAAACCTCCTCAAAGGAATATTTTATGAATTTATTGATACTACAAATAACAATTATGACAGATCTACAAAGTATAAACCTTATACAAATGTGTTCACTTCATTGTTTACAAACGGATTGCCTGTCACCTCATCGCTCAAGCTAAAGTTGAGTTTTCAACATTAATGTCACTTACGTATTATTATTATTTACATAAACAAATACAAACACAAGAAATCTGTCCTCACACTTTTGAAAGTGCAACACTCTTAAAAATAAAGGTTTCAAAAGTTTTTTTTTCTCCTTTTTGCATTAACAAAAGAAAAACTGGGTTCCTCAAAAGAAACTTTCAGTTTTTCTCAGTGTGAAGAACATTATAATAATCTATATAGAATATTTGTTTACTATCCAAGATTGGATGTTAAAGGTTCTTCATGGGACCATCAACGCCAATAAAGAAACTCTATTTTTAAGTGTATCTGTGTTTTTGTAGTAATCTACCGACTAACTACAGTCGTAAAATGCATTTACACACATTGTAAAGAGCTTTGTGTTGTTTTGTTTTTTCCTGAGACACACTCCATATTTTAATTCCAACGCTATAAACACTTGACATCAGTCAGCAATCTTAAGTTAAAAACATTACAAACATTTGAAATGACATCTGAATATGACATACAATGCATTTCTATTACAATCAATTTAAAAAGGCAAATAGTAGTAAAATATCTCAGTCCATCCAGGAGATGTTAGCCATTTCAAACACGAGAGTTTAAGCAAATGTATGTTTTGCCACTAAGCATAAGATGTTTGGCAAGTCAACTAATTTAGGAACTCCTTTCTTGTAGATTAAGGTGCTAATTTCTATTCTATTACCTCGGCCTTCTCTGCTCCATTCCATTGGGCAGGAATCCCGCGATTATAGGAACTGGCCATATGAGGGCAGCGACGCTCCATATAATGATGACTAAAGTCATGAAACAAGCCACCAGAGTGGATTCGATGGGTTTGCGGTTGAGCCTCCAGCTTCGATCCCCCTTCAGGTCGTCCAAAGCGAAATCCACGCAGCAGAAATGCACGGAGTCGCCCGTCTGCGGACCCTCGGACCTGCCCCGTCTGAATCTCCGGTACCGGGACAGCCCGCATCCCACGCAGAGTCGGAACTCCTGCTGGCCGCCCGTGATGCCCAGGTGCTCGATGTACACCGGCGAGATCGCGCGGTTGAAGGCGGCGGAGAAGAACGCCTTGCCGTGGTTGTTGGTGGTGTACATGAGCACGTCGCACTGGAAGCCGAAGTTGCTGTCCCAGCGCGCCATGAGTTTGGTGGGGAGTCTCTCCACGCTCACGTTACACGTCGAGGAGGCTTCGGGCTCCTCCACGGATCTCTTCGAGTAGCCCACATCCACTTCCAGACTGGCCACGAACCTCCCGGAGGAGTTGACGGGCGGCAGCAGGAGGTCCTCGTCGCTCCAGCTGTGTGCGCAGCGGCCGGGAGCGCTTAGAGCCAGCAGGAGAGTGATGGAGATGCTCAGCATGGCAGACCGCGCGGTTCCTCCAGGCGCATGGTGGTCTCGCACTCGCTCTTTATTCCGTGGTGGTTGCCGAGCAGTCCGTCATGTATGCGCTCCATCAGTTACGCGTGTGTCCTGTGCGCTTCCGGAGAGCGCAGTGACCGAGCGCACGGTTGCGCGTCAGTGACAGTGAGTTCTGCTCCTTCACCTCACTGCTTGCTTCTGCTCGTCTACAGGGGTAGGAGGCTCCACATCACAGCAGAGACAACTTGTGCACTTCAGATGACAGTAGGCGATCACGTGGGTTCAGAAAGATCATTTCACACACTGAAGATTGACACTCTTTAACCCTCTGGTACTGTTTGCGTGTCAGTCAAAAATTACAGATTTCACTGAAATGATTGTAGTTCGACAATGTTTTTTATTTTATTTAATATTTTGTATTTCTAGGGGATTTTATGGTACTAAGTTAAAGGTTAAAATCCATTTATTCACTTTCTGAGCATGGACCATTTCCAACTTAAACTGTCATAAATCTTGAATGCTTTGGAGCAGACTGAAGTTTGGTCTCTTTTTAAAGACAACACTTGGCAGATTATTTCTGAAGCGAAAAAATATTTTTTTTAAAAGGGGAACTTTAAAAAAGTTATAAAATTGTACATTTTTGTAATGAAAAATACACGAAAATGCAATTTTACATTTTTATTTAATTGTGTTTTTATTTAGTTAGTTTTACTCTAAAGCTGTGAGAAAATCAAAGCCATAAATCTAAACAAGTTGTGTTTCAAATTTGAGGTTGATATCTCAAAAAATGAGCTTTCAGATTTTGTTTGTGCGCAATACCAAACGCTTCCACTAGATGAAATTTGTCTCCCATTCATTTCCAATGCGCTCATTTTTGACTGCAAACAGTAAAAGTGTGACTATTTATTTCAGAATGTGTGTGTGTGTGTGTGTGTGTGTGTCTGCACAGCACCTTTACCAAGCTCTGTACCATTCCAATAAATTAAGGAAAAAATATATATATACACTACCGTTCAAAAGTTTGGGGTCAGTGAGAATTTTATTTTTATTTTTTGGAGGAAAGAAATCAATACTTTTATTTATCAAGGAATAATTAATTTGATCGAAAGTGACAGTAAAGACATTTATAATGTTACAAAAGTCTTTTGAACTTCCTATTCATCAAAGAATCCAAAAAAAAAAAAAAACTGTACAGACCAACAACTGTTTCAACATTGATAATAATAATAAATGTTTCTTGAGCATCAAATCCTCATATTATACTGATTTGTGAAGGATCATTTGACACTGAAGACACTGACACTGGTGATGCTGAAAATTCAGCTTTGATCACAGGAATAAATTACACTTTACTATATATTCACACAGAAAACAGCTGATTTACACTGGAATAATATTTAATACTATAACTGATTTTTGTTGTATTTTTAATCAAATAAGCGCAGCCATGGTTAGCAGAAGAGAATTCTTTTAAAAGTATTTAAAATCATACCGACCCCAAACTTTTGAACGGTAGTGTATATATATATATGTATGACAGAAAAAAACCCAAAGGGGAACTTTTTACAGAGATGCCATGGATTTTGGTTCCCCAAATAATCTTTCTTTTAAAAGAACCATTTTGTTCTTAGTGTGAAGAACATTTTATAAAGAACCTTTTAGGGAATTGAAAGTTAGATGTTAAAAGTTCATAAAGGACCCATCAATGATAGTACATCTCAGAGTATTTTGCATGTTGGTTTCCAACAGCAACTGATTCTTATCTTATCTTTTATCAACTTATTTTTGTAATATCGGTTGAGTGATCAGTTTTTATTAAACACAATAAACGCACACTTAAATACATTCAGATAAAATAGGCTGAACTGTGTTGCAAGTTGCCACGTGTTGTAAATTCATATTTTTAAATATTTCTCTGCAAAAACAATGGTATCCTTTACATTTGTATTACATATTTGGTTTATTGTTTAATTGTTGCTGAAAATAGTGACTTTCAACGGTGAATTGTCTGACATATGACACAAAGAGGGGTCACAAAAGGTCAGCGTGCGTTAAATGACCCGTAACTATGAACTGGCAGAAATGTTCAATAGCTTTTTGTTGTGTTAAATAGACTTTAATATGTGCTGCTAAAATATATTAATTGGAATAAAAAAGTATGGTGACTGGCTCCAATTTCCCTAATATTTGGGTCAGGGACAAAAATGTGTTTTTTTATGTTTGATAATGTTTTCATGTTTTGATTAAATGACTTTAAAAATGTAATTTGGTGTAATCATATGATTTATTTGCATGTCTACAGGGGTCCTCTATCATTTCTTGTTTGATGGTTTTCATGAAAACAAAATGGTCTGTTAGTTATATCATAATTTCAAACAGAAGTTTGTTAATAGTTATTCTTTTTTTTTAAATCAATACAAATATCAAAAAATATCAGACTAAGTGTTCAAGGGTTTCAGCTTTATTGTTTTTGTCTTTTACAATACAAAAATATCGAAATTAATTTTAATAAGACTGCTGAAAAACAAGTTCAGACTGAGTACTGAAGTTTTACCAACATAAACCTTTGAATGAATGTTTGTATTGTATTAAATTAACACTTGTTTCGCATCATGTGACGCCTGCTTCAGACAGACTCATCCTGAGGGAACATCTCACCAAATATTCATATAGACCTGTCACGTGATGCATGAGTCACGTGAAGCTCAGCACTGATTCATTCACTTTACAATGAACTTCTTTACGATATGCTTATCATCAGATTCTGAAGTAAAGAATATTTGAATGATATTGTTACATTAATAGGAATTGTACAACGTGTTGTCTTTGCAAGATGACAAATATAAAGGCTAAATGCTTTTATATGAAAAACGCATGAGTATAGTTTTCTTTCGGGATGTTTAAATGGCTCGATTAGTGCTTGATGTGCTGATGTGATGGACACATTACCTCCAGTTGCAGCTGAAAGATGAACTCATGCTGGATTTTAAAGCAGAACGTCCTCTCACCTTGCCGATCCCTTTCCTTCACACCCTCCAAATTCCCAAATACTGGTCACGGAAATAAAAAATATGCTCCACACAATGTGGCAGTGAACAGAGGAAAATGTAAATGACTTTCTTGTTCATTAATTATGCTATAAAAATGTAAATTGCTCCGGTGCCAAAAATGCTAATGGGACCGAGATAAAAGCCTCCTTTGTCAAAGCAGAATGTATGAAAGATTCAGAATATTTCTTTTTAAAATCAGGAAAGAGAGAGAGATTCTGAGTTGCCTATTGGCTTTTTGAAGAACCCCACTTTCTGAAGAAAAAAAAGAAAACACACATTTACACTGTAATTAGGTATCGGCTGCTGTCAATTGTCTTGTTTTCCCCCCGCCGGTTCAAGTTCCTGTTTAGATTAGGCTCTAGATGTTTCATTGATTCCAGGTCTTGCATTTCCTTCACGCCGCTAAAGACAGATTGTTCCACTGTCCCGTCAACACACAGACACCAGAAAACCTCTGTCACCGTGTAGAGTCTGGTGTCTGTGGCACAGATCTCAAACACTGAAATGAGGAAATTAACAAAAAATAATCGTGATTTTAACGGTAAAAGACTGTAAAAATGCTACAGTGCAAAACTGTTAATTCGTTAACAGAAAGTTTCCATACTACATACGGTAAATAACTGTGATAGATCTAACGGTACATTTAATGTAATTTTACTGTAAAATAGCGTTAAATTTACAGTTTTTTTAAAGTGAAATAGAACAACTCATAGTATAATATACAGTGAAAAACCGTAAATTGACATTCCCACAATTCCCTGCGTGACACTTCACATTTTATGTATTTTTGTTGAAATAACTGTTTCCTCATAGTTTTCTTGTTTTTTTTTTCTAACCAGTTATGTACATTAGGGTTTTATGTTACATTTAATGTTGTTAAATTAATGTTTATTGCATTTTTATAATTTCATGTGTGTTACCATGATGGTGTTTAATGTTTGTGTGAATGACACTGTGCAGCTTCTTTATAAAGTATTAATCTTCTTGTGGAAGAATGCCTATGATGAGCTTTGATTCATGTTGTGCTGTGATGATTGTTGGTTGTCAGTGTATTACAGTGGTACAAAACAGATATCAATACTTCAATAGGTTGGTAAATTAACATTTTATCAGATAATGAAATACGGTTTATTACTGTAAATTTTAAGTTAAGTCTGTAAAACCAATAACGTTGCTACCGTATTTTTGACGGTAAAGTTCTGGCAACCACAGCTGCCGTTTTTTTACCGTAAAAATTACGGTTTTATTTTTTACAGTGTAGTGTTAAGGCTCCAATAAACTTTAAGCGAAATCAAAGAACAAACTGGTGTGACGTCATTAATATGGAGCCCCTAAAGGGACATGGTGATGGAAAAGTATGAGACGAAATGAAAAAAAATGTTTGCGTTCTTTCATGAAACTTAGTACGGAGCCCGTAAAGGGACCTTTACAAAAATAAAAACATACAGGCTTTCACATGCTCACGCGATAGTTTTCTATCTTTGCATTGGCTCAAACAAAAAAAAAAATTTTGTGAAGGCAAAAGTTTAGCGAGTGAACGCAAAATTTCTCAGGGGAAGGCAAAACTTTTGTGATTGAACTCGAATGCATTTTCTCCCCCTCCTATCTCATATTTTTTCCATCACCGTGTCTCATTTAGAACAAAATCAGGCCAAAACTAAGTTAATTTGGAATTATCAGCTGTATTTTCAAACAGCTTGCCAAAGTGAACCTTTCCTAAAAGTCACTCCGGCTGGTAAACACCATAGACAGTAAAAGAAATGGACACAGCGACCCCGTTGATTTCAACGGAGAGAGTTGAAGCCCAACATGGGCACTCACTTCCTGATAGCCAAGCGCACTGCGCCGGCTCAAACTGAGCTTGACGACGTAGTTGTCACGTGAGCAACCGTTCTGACCTTCTAGTAGCTGTGCCGGGACAAATCTGAATTGAAATCTGAAACAAATCTGTTGTTGAAATATTTTGTCCCGTTGCTTTTATGAACTCTCTATCTATGGGCTTCTCCCTTGACTTTATGCCTCCATGTCCACCCGATTGCCTCATAGACAGTAAGCGAT